GTGACATACCTGAAGAACTATGAGGTAACTGACCTACGGAAGAAGAAGCAGACATAGCTTGTGGCTATAAGAAGAGAAACTTCTGAAATTGCTCAGCCAAAGTACTAGGATCGGTGAAAGGACCTGATGAAACTACTGCTGCAGTATTAGACAGTGGTGATTTGTAACCCTGAGGTGGTCTATGAGCATTAGATTGTGACTGGTTGCCAGGCTTCCAAGCTTGAGATTGCTGCTGTGATTGATTATGCTGCCTCAACTTAGGACACTAAGCCTTCCAATGACCTTTTTGCTTATAGAAACTGCACTCGTCGAAGGCAACCCTTGTGTAAGGTTTATTCTGATTATTAAAGACTAGCTTCGAAGGTACTGCTAACACAAAAGGATTAAAAGTAGAAGCAGAAAGAATTTTCTTTTTAGAATGAGACTTAAGACGTATTTCTTCAGCCACTAACTCACTGACAACTAAGACAACAGAAGGCATTGGAGAATAATGCAAAATTGAACCTCTAAGTCCTTCAAAATCACTGCAAAGTGCCGTTAAAAACTGTACCAACTGTTACTGCTCCCTATGAGCAATATAGGCACCACATGCCTTTAATTCTACAAATTCTGTAAGAGCCAATTGATCCCAAAGATCTGTCATTGCAGAATAAAACTCATGAACACTCATATTCTTCTGCTGAAGAGCTCGTATTTCATTCTCCAATTGATACTGCTTTGTAAAATTTGACTAATTGAATAACCTTTGTAGATGATCCCAAACCTCCTTTGCTGTCTCATACTTCGCTAACTGTGTACCTATGGAATGCCCAATAGAATTGTTAATCCAAGTAATAATTTTTGCATTGTTTGCTTCCCAGGAATCTATCAAAGCATCATAACCCTCATTAGTATTCTTAGGTTTCACAAAAGTTCCACTAACATATCCCCACATCTTTTTACCCTTAAGAAAATTTCTCATCACATAACTCCAATACGAATAATTCTTGTCATCTAACCTCACACTTACAGACTGAAACGAATCGTCTCTTTCAGTAGCCATATTCAAAAAACAAAGAAAACCAGAATGCAAAAGAAAGGAAAACGAAATACCAGATTGCCGAAATTGAACGAATACCAACGAAATACCAGATTGCAGAAACTGAACAAATACCCTCTCCAAATTTTTAAGATTAAGCCTCGTCCGATGAAACTCTGCTCTGATACCATGTTAAACAATCCAAAGAAATAATAAAAAGAGGAGGTTAGGGTTTCATTGATACTGCACAATTCAATTGATTACAAAAAGTATGATTTAACCTAAATACAAAGATATATATATAGGCTAAACAAAGGAAATAATGAAAAGACAGATCTACCCTTAATAAACAATAAAACAAAATAACCCATATTTCTTAACAGTATGTATAGTATTACTCTTAATTTTTTTCATCCCAACTGTTAAGATTTTCTCTTCATATTGGGCTGATAGGCTTTTGTGATCTTGTATAGGCTTTTGTGTCGTTCTAACCCACAGCTTGTCTTGTGGTAGGATGTGCTTTGAGAGATAGTGTTTTTGTATAATTCTTTAGTCTTGGTTAGACTTTTATTTTTGATCCTATCCCAGGGGTTTGTCCTGTGGTAGGTTGATTGCCTTTTATAGGCCACTTTATACATTATTTTTCTTTTTCTATTTAAAGCTTAGTTACCAAAAGTAAAAAAAAATACTAAATGATGTGTGTTAAATCAGAAATTCAAGATTATTACAAGCACTTATATTGAACAATAGAGCTTGTTGACTAGAAAAAAATATTTGTTTAATAATTCTTCTAATTGTAGTATTAAATGAATGCATCATGGATTCATGGGAGAGTCTTGAAGAGAAAACTTCATTTTCCCTTTTTTTTAAAAAAAAAAAAAAATGAAGAAAGTACTAAGAGAAAATCTTACTTTTAAATTCATCAAATATATAAAATTAAATTCTTAGTTTTTACAAAAAGAAAAATATCCCACACATACATTTAATAAATTATATAATGAATTTTATATCTATTATTTATTTGTACAAAGAATAAAATGAAGAAAGTTTGTATATTTTTTTAGATATTTTATAAAATAAATATCATTTCTAAAATTTGTTTGTCAAATTAAATTATTGTCAATTGTTTTGGATTTCAATACTTCTTACTATATATATTTATACGGGTTAGCTTACAAACCACCGCCACAATCTCTCACTTAAATTACGAATGCTCAAATGGGAAATCAAACCTGAGACTATGTGTCTATCCACACTATCCCCAATTCGTTCTAACCACTAGACTACCTATAGATGGAAAATATTGAAGTTAGGAAAAAAAAAAAAAAAAGATAAATATCAAAAATCTATATTTTGATGCATTATTTTAAGGGGTCGAAACATAAAAATGACATTACAAGAAAAGTTATGATATTTTACTATAAAAGCTAGTTAAATATTTGAATATTTTATTAATAAGAATTTTATTGTAGTTTGATTTGGAGGTGTTATTATTTGTGTTTTTTTTTTTTTTTTTTTTTGGAAATCAAATGAGTTTTATATTCATTCAGGAGGATCGACTAAGGATCCAATACAATTTGGAACATCTTTAAGCTCAACCAATACATCATCAATGGTTAGAGCATCTTTAGCTAGAGTATGAGCAATCACATTGGATGCTCTTTTAACATGATGAATCGAAAAAGTTTGAAAATTCCTAAAAATCGCCTTAGTATCCATAGAGATAAGACCAGCTTGGCCTCAATTCTCTTCGTCCCTAAGGAGATCATTGACTACTTGAAGTGCGTCCCCTTCCAGGATAATTTGGTTGATCCCAATATCTACTGCTAGAATACTGCTTGAAGAGCTGCGAAACTCAACCAAGTGTGCATCTGGGAACATGGTTTTCTTCATTCTCATAGTTGCCATAAACCTGCCTTGCCAGTCCCGAATTGCAATTCCAACCCCAATTGTGCAGTCTTCTTTTCTCACACTTGCATCCCAGTTTATCTTGAAGATACCTTCAGGTGGTGGCTGCCATCTTAGTGAGCTGGGATCAGGAATCTAAGGATGAGCATTAGGAGAGGTCCTCGTTTGATGTAAGGATTTTAACATGTCCAGTTCTTGAGTTGCATGGTGAATGATCTGGGATGGAGTAGAAATATGATGTTTGAAAGTAAACTCATTCCTCCTTTGCCAGATTTTTGAGACCACCACTCCAAATTCAGCTAAATGCTTTTCCTCTAATTTGGATAGAAAAACCATAACGAGCTCTCTGAAGTCGGTGAAATTGTTATTCATCTTTTGGAAGGTTAGAAACAGCTTGACCAAATATCCTTGGCAACAGCGCAGCCCCATAAAGCATGCAAGACATCTTCTTCTTTTGAGCAACAGAAGGGGCAAAAAGGATCCTAAATCACCCTTTTCTTGACAAGGTTACACTTGGTTGAAAGAATGTCTTAGCAAGCTTTCCACAAAAATAGCTTCTCGGCATTAGTGATGGGAAGCTTCCATAGCTTCTTCCACTTTTTATTCTCATTAGCTGCAGAAGAGGATTGGCCTCGGGATGAGAGTTGGGATTTGTGTTGGCTTAATAACTTGTTCATTAATAAATTTTCTTAGTTTTGTTTTACACTTGTATTATAAATTTATTCCATATCGTCAAACACAATCATAAATATATTAATTATAAAGAGCACTATAAATAAATACTAATATTTTTTGTATGACTTATACCCAATATATTATTTATTATAAGTTTATTTGTAATCGTATTGTTAAGTTTAATTAATGTCTTCACTCCCTTAGAATGAGTTCTTAGCTATGTTTATGCAAAACCATCTTCAAAACATACACAATACAATCATCACCAAAGGACAACACAACATTTTGTACGTGGTTCAGTGTATCCATCACTTTCATATTACCTATTTTATTAAACCAAAAAAGAAAAAATTGAAGCTCACAACATCCTTTCATTTCCCATGATAAAAAAAAAAAAAAAAAAAAAAAAAACTAAAATTGGAAGGTCTAACTCATACAAATTTAAATTTAAATTAAGTTTTTGAAAATCACACCTCTTGATCTCAAAGTCAGCGTTTTCATTGACGTATCCTGCAAACTAACAGATTACGTACTCACATGCATGATTATAAACGTTTTTCATACATCCATCGACTTAACTATTTAATTAATCACACAAATGATCCAAAAAACACCCACTGTTCTTACTCATGTGGTGCCTCTCTGGCTATCTCAATGTGAACTTAATTTTATATTACCCTCTTTTGTCGATATTCATTGATTCTTGTGAATTTGGAAACAAGAGAAATGACAAAGAAAATGTCAAAATTAAGTATCATCTTTTCATTAATATCACCCCAAAAGCTCCACTTCAAAGGATCAAGATGCACTTTCCATTTTACTTATTCATCAATTTGGTGATTTAATCAATCGATCACCACTCACCAGTTTCAGGCAGTCATATTTTCTAACCCTTCTAACCAATGTAAAATAAAAAGGCATAAATCTTATAAAATATGGAAAGAAATCGTGAGAACTCAACCAAAATGTAAATCTGTATCTCCTAAATAAATATTATATAAGATATCTTTATATATATATAAAGATCTTTGGAGCATATGGTTAATACACCATACATATCGTATGAGCTACAAGGTTATGCTCAAAGTCGCAAGTTTTTAGAAATTATAAAGAAAGAGGTCATTACACAAGAAAGAGGCTATAAAAAGGAGGCAAATTGGCAACAAATTAAAGTATCAACTCTAAAATATTTCCCTTCTCTACAAAAACAATATTATTGCCAATGTTCCCATTGCTCTTATTATTCCTGGCTACACTTGTAGCAACATCCCAGGCCCAGGGTGATCATATCCACCTTCTCCTGCCGCAATCCGACGCCAGAAAATACGATATTCCGAGCTTGTCATGCCTGAGCTGGCACCTTGCCATGGAAACTAACAACACTGTCGGATTCGAAACAGTTCCAAAAGAGTCTTTAATCTACGTGGAGCAATACATGTCAGATGACCAAGACAAGAAAGATTCCGCCGTCATTATTGATCTAGCTTTACGCTACGCTAGAAACCTGAAACTCGGCGGCGACGGCAAGGACATTTGGGTCTTTGACATAGATGAAACAACACTCTCTAATTTGCCTTACTATGCTAAGCATGGATACGGGCACGTAATCATAAAATAATTTATTTAAGTTGAATTATTATTATAAATTATTACCTATATATTCCTTCACATATAAGCCTAGATTTGTTTACTGTTGTTTGAGATTATAACAATGTCAACAACTGATATTAAACTTAGAAAAATATTCGAAGATTCGGCATAGATAAATGTTTAGTGTTCAATATTCTAATTAATGACTAGAAATTCCGGGTAGTTGAGTGATCAAGAATCAGTTGTATAAAACTTTAGATGATTAGCTATGTTACAAGCCTTAACCTCACCCAGGGCGGCAAGAACATCTGGTCTTTGACGTAGATGAGACCACTCCCTCTAATTTGCCTCTTTTCGCTCAAATGGAATACGGGTACCTAGCTACTCATAATTATAATTTTTATCAAGATTATGTTAGAATAATGTTAATTTATATATATATTTGAACCAAGCTTTACTTTTGTAAAATTATTTCAATAAATTAAACTTCTCAGCAAATTAGAAGTTAGACCACCTAAGTTTTGTCATATTCAGATATCTTCTAGTATCCCAAAATTCATCTAATTTTCTTATATATATTCCACCTACGTCATGAATACATATTGATCATGATGTTGGAAATACTTTAATTCACATAAGGAGGCCCATGGTTGTTTTGAAATAATTAAATTGGTTAAAGGGCATGAGTCATGACAGTCATTTACCTTTAAAGGAGAGGTTACTACAATTAATAAAAGAACTGCAATTTGGCAATTAATAAAACTGCATGCTATATAAAATGGGTTTTCTCTCTCTATTCCTTAATATATGTTTTTCTTTATCCATCAAAATAAATTGACATAAAGGGAACAATGGGAGAAAATACACTACTTTCTTTCGCATCATCAAGAAATTTAATCATGAAACCAAGTATGTATTACTTCTTTAATAAATAGTGAAAAATCATTTAGTTTCTGATATTACGATTTATGTTTATGTAATTTAAGGCATAAAAATATAATTATATTATTGATTCTTTGTCATTGATAAAATTGCTATTAAGTTGTTTTTTACATGTGGTATCAGAGCAAATCAAATAGATGTATTTTTTATTAAGTTGATTTTTTATATATTAGGTGCTTATGGTACAAAGAAATTAGATTGGGTTTGTAAATCTCTTAAATGGTTGGAAAGTTGGCTAGAATCGAATTTTTCTGATGTTGAAACATGATTTTCCAAACATGTTTTTCAATAAAATTTCCAAAAGTTTGGGTCAAGCATTGACCAATATAATAACACTATTTCTTTACTTGATCCAGCCCATTTTTGAGGCCTTTTTTTTTTTAAAGTTTACAAAACCCAAATAGAAAAAGCCCAAGCCTTTTATTAAGTGAGCCATTAAAGAAGCCCAAGTACTATTTATTAAATGAGCCCAATTCAAACCCAAACCCAGTAAGAATGATCCATAAAAGCTCACCTCATTAAGTATAAACGAGTGAAACTGATCTGGCCAAACGTCAACAATTCAAACCGATCAACAGGTCAAACCAATCCAGACCATTGACTAAACTAGTCAAAGGGTAAAAAGGGCTAATCGACTCATGAGGGCGCGTGCCCAACATGTGAGAGCACATGCCCGACGTGTGACAATGCACGACAATATGTGCGGCATGTGTCTGGCGCGTGAGGGCATGTGGCAATGCGTGGTAGGGCGTGAGGGTGCACGTGAAGGATGTGTATAGGTTTATAAAGTATAATTTTCTTTAGAGAAAGATAGAATGTCACTTAGGATATAATTATAGTTATTATTTAAGTTTGATAACTATATTACGTATAATTTGTTAGTCACCAAAGTGGCCAAATTAGAATGATTATCCCATAGATATCAAACTAATTTAGATTCAATTACTCAAGATCATTAGATGCTTTAGTGAGATGACATGATGTATTTGACATGAATAATTTGAAATTCATAAATTAGAGGATAGTTAAGGATCGTACAGTGGTAGATTAATTAACCCTATAATTATGAACATAACTGAGGTTAATTAATGTACTTGATTAAGTGTGTTTAGTATATTCAAAGATAACGAACATGTCTAATGAAGTACATTTGATTACCAATTAAGAAAATTACATCAACTAAGTTTAATTATTATATATTGTTATATCTCCCAAAAGAGATTTTCAATATACATTTATGTTTTAATAATAATAAATTTTAATATCTAAATCTAAAATTATGTATTAGGCATAAATGTAACCCCGGCACCCCATTGTATTACGTGTATGTTTGTATATATATTTATGCATCGGTATGACTTTTGCATATTTTCTACTTTTTGTGTCTGGATGAATGAAAAAATTGTGTTGGTTGGTTGTGGGAGTGCCTTTTTGTAGTATGTTTATTATTTGGAGTGTGTTGGATTGGTGACTTGTAATAGAATTCATATTGGTTACGGGTTGATTAATTGTATATCATGCGTATGCATAACATATGTTGAATGGAGTTGTAGTCGAATATTATTTGTGTAGTGATTTCCTAATTTGAGTTGGTGAAAAGAAATCCAGTCAATTAGTGGGACTGGTTTGTTTGATTGATAAATGAAAGTGTTTTGGTTAACATTTGTCTTGATAAGGACATTATTGTTGAACCATTAAGAAACATTATAGGTTGTTCTTGATATAGAATTTGTAATGTGATACATGGAAGGGACTGTGTTGATTCAATGGCATATGACTTTCATGATCCTTATAGGTTCTTGCTCAATAATGTTTATATTCTGATCATTTTAAGATAGAGTAATGCTAGTTTTACAAATACACATACAAAGGGGACATATAATGTTTATATGCTGAACGCGACTTGACTTTACTCATTACGACAATATCAATGGGCGTAGAATTCACCTTATAAGCATCCAAATCACTTTAAACATTGTTCTTTATCCTTTATTCAACTAATACTTCCATAACCAGTGTGACTTCTGAGTCCACTTAACATTTATCACATATGAAAAATTGGTGTCAAAATCAAGCACAACAATTTCAAACTTGAATTTCTCCTCATCTAAGTCTTACTTAGGAAAAATACAGTCTTCATAGTTAGTAGTTAATAAAAAATATATTAAAGAAAAAATATTGATTATAACAAAAAAGAAAAAGAAAAAGAAAAAAAAAAAACCTGACCTGTATCAGAAAATTCTCAAAGTTAAAAGATAAGCTTGAACGTTGTGGAAAAGTTGGTTCTTTCTCTGGGCATGGAGCCTCAGTAACATGCCTTTGTTGACAATTGAAAATATTAAAACGATTGAGGCAAGAAATATGAAATTATTTATTTAAGTTTTAATTTTCTTTTTTTTCCATTTCGCTTGCTTATTGATATAATACTTTTAACAATACATTATCTTCCTTCATTTCTCATACTGAAAAAATTAGATACTGATACATATTTAATGTTAAATTTAAAAAAAAAAAAAAAAAACTTTATTACGTAAGTATTCAACTCATAAAAAAAGTTACAGTCAACCCATATTATATACAAATTTAAATTTCGAGAAATATGTCTGCACTGTGTACAATTTTGTTGCCCAAAATATATTGCTAAACTGGGAATATTTTGTTAGAAAAACCATGACTTAAGCTTCAAGAGGTACACTTTATATCAGACCCCTTTGGTCCCCCCATAAATATTGTCTCACATAAATATCAGATCAACCACGGCTTCCCTGAGATCCACTCAATTCAATTGCTATTTCATATTTATAAAAGGCCGAACGACTTGTGCATACTCAAGGTTTACTGTAATGATAAGTTGGTACTCAAAAGGTTTTAAAACGATAAATAGGTCCTCCGTCATATTGTTAGTGATTTTTGTTATTAATAGGAAAAGACTAAAATGCCCTTCAAAGTTTCAATTTTAGTTTTTTTAATTAAAAATTTCTAAAAGGCCCCCTAGGTTTGCTAATTTAATTAAACACCCCATATATAAAAGTTGTTAAATAACAAAAACACCCCCACCACCCCAGTGCCAGATTCCGGCCATCATCGCCGGAATCTAGCCGAAAAAATGCATTACGACACAAATCCACGGATCTGTGTCGTAACTTGCCGATCTGACCTTTTCGGTCAGATCCGCCATGGATCTGGTCGGAAAAGGTAAGATCTGGCCGTCAAAGCAGCACCAGATCTGGCCTTTTCGGCCAGATCCGGGCTGATCTGGCTGGAAAAGGCCAGATCTACTGCCAGATCTGGCCGTCGAAGCCGTAGATGGAGTTTACGGCGGCGACGGCCAGAGCTGGCCGTAGATCTGGCCTTTTGCGACCAGATCAGCCATGGATCTGGCCGGAAAAGGCCAGATCGAAGCGTTACGACACAGATCCGACGGGTCTGTGTCTAACGCAACTTCCGGCCAGATTCCGGCGGTGATGGCCGGAATCTGGCACTGCAGGTGGCAGGGGTGTTTTTGTTATTTTATAAAAAATTTTATATATTGAGGTATATTTATTAATTTGTAAACTTAGGGGGTTTTTTAAAAATTTTTAAATTATAAAAAACTAAATTCAAACTTTTTTTAGGGCATTTAATCTTTTCATTATTAATAAACAGTAATAAACAGAATCACTAAAAAAATATGACGAAAAGTACCTATTTATCATTTCAAAACCTTTTAGATACTAACTTATCGTACGATAAACCTTGGGTACGTATAAGTCGTTCTCCCTCATATAAATTAATGTGGCTAGTAGAAATAAGTGCCCAATTCTGACCTCAATCGTTTTAATATTTCAATGTCAACAAGGCATGCTACAGAGGGCTCCATGCCCGGAGAAAGAATCCCACTTTCCCAAAGTCCAAGCTTATCTTTTAACTTCGAGAACTTTCTGATAAAGGACAGATTTCCGGAGAATTAATAAAAAAACAAATCCCTTTGATAATTTCATTAAAAAAAAAAAAACTTGTACATGCAATTTTTAAACTCCTTATAGACAAATTATGTCATATAATTTTATGTAAAAATAAGGGAGGGGATCT